CATGGTACATCATGTCACAAATAGATATGTGCATTTGTTTCATGATCTGCTTAACAATAGCGGAATGATGGCCATTTTAAGGCCGAAAATGCATCAAAATCACATATTTTCACAATTCCAGAACCGGATCTCAGTCATGCATGGATGGATTTTGTTCAGATTTAGCACAATGTGTTGTACATATGCAGGTGCATTTCGGTCATGATCTGCTTTGAATGTATATGTCACTCAAATATGAACGGAACGGGGACGTGTCATTGACAATGACTTGTTGACACCTTGACATGTACGTTTACTAGATTTTTGTTACTGTGCCATCCATCTTTGGTATGTTGCATTTGGTTTTTAGTCCCTTTTGGTATGTTCCTGTCACTGTTGTCATCTGGCAAGTTTCAAATACTTATTTATGGAATTGCGGTATTTTCGCCTCAGCAAAAAAATCACAGAATTGATTATATAGAGAATCACACACACACACACATACCATAGACCTCAGTTTTCTAAAGTCTATGCACACACACAAAATACAATTTTAAACACAATCCTTTAGGAGTGGATTGCCAAAATAGCGACAGATTGTTTATAACTGTTGTGACATTGAAAATCACAGCAAAGTAATGTTGCTATTGTCTGCTAATGTTCTCTTTCACACGCTGTAATGCGGTCTATGATTACTGTAGTTATTTATTTATTTTTCAGTTCTAGTCATGAAAAACGCTAATAATGTGTGGCTGTGATTAATTGCTGCAGAATCATTTAATTTGAAATTTAATGTGTTTTATTCTCAGGTATTTGTTACGAAATACTAGTAGTAACGAATTGACCTGGAGCATAAGATGTACATGGTGAAGGTGGTTGCAAGTAATGAATAAGGAGATAGTAAAGCTGCAGTGTGTTCATATTATATCGATTACAATACATGTGAGTTACGTGAAACTCTTTAAATACAAAGTCACCATTCACAATTTCAAAGCTGCATCTTTTTATTTTTTATGCAAATCTGTAGCCACATTGGTCCAAATTTAAAGAAATTGTCGGAAAATACATTAAACTGCCAAAATGGGCATCCATATTTTGGGCCATTGTAATCTCACTGCAACGTGAACTTATTTTTCTTTTTTTTTCTATTTTTCAGATGGTGCTGTTGTCCTCTTTGTCGCATCCACAGCCACTACCTGTGTGTCTATATTGTGTTACTTGCATATCTTTCCATTAGTGATGTTATACATGTACCTTCAATTTTACCTGGACTGAATTCTGCCTATAGAGGGCAGTATTTATCCTGATCTGTTTTTGTTTTTCATACAAAATAGAAGTGTAATACAGTGCACATGAGTGTATTTTTAATAATAGTAATGATGTTTTTTCTTTTTAACTTCTATATACTATACATTGTATAGTATAATTATTGTGGACTAATTGCAAAACTATTTTTTTTAAACAGATCACATGTTCAGGTTATTTTATATATCCTAAAATTTACATTTATAAAACTTAATATTTCTGAAGGCTGGATTTCCCAAAACAAACTGAACAATGCCTGCCCAGCCATTATTCAACCGCCATTTTTTATATTATTCTGTTATATATGACAGGTAAATGAAAACAATTAACCTAGATATACTTAATTTCAGAATTTCATTGATTTTTCACTTCATTGTTAAGTAATGAGAGTTTGTTAAATTGTTCGTTTCTGTGTGAAAGTTTTGTTTAATGTTCACAGATGTTCATTTGTTTGTTACTATGGTAACAGCACAAATAAAAGAGTATAGTTGCTCACTTTTAATCTTTTAATATACTCATGGTACAATATATAATTATCTTGTAAACAATCGTTCTTATTTTATGGATAACAGGCTTGTTTCTATCAAATGACAATCATAGGCCCTCTGTCAAGTTCAATAAAAGATTGTATGTGAATGAAGCTTAGCCAGTTGCCAAGGGTTGGTCTTGAGTGTTTGGTATTCTCTCCCAGGGTAGGAGACAATCTTCTATTCTCATGCAGGGAAGAAGGCAATCTACTGCTCTCAACCCAGCCTAGGAAGTTGTGAGTACCTACTCGCAAATGCACCTAAAAAATACGTCTATGCGAGTAAAAACCATTTAAATATCTGCATTTAGCTTGCAGTTTTCAATAAATACTGTGCACGATCTTTGAATAATTTACGATGTACTCGGAAAGTCTAGTTTCAGGCGCATGCCAAGTGTCACGAGAGAAGACAGATTATGCCTCAGAACGTGGTGAACTGGTCGAAAAAAAAGAAAGTCTGACTGAACATAGCGCCTCATCAAGACACATTCACGCACATGATAAATTCTTTGCCGGACTTGTTGAAGCAAGTTCACTCGCCAAAGCATTCCGAAAATCAGCTGACCACAGTGTTGATAAAACTGTAGCTGAATTAAAAATCAAGTTCAACATAGCATATATAATTGCTAAACATGAAATACCGTATTCGATGTTTCCAAAGTTACTGCTACTTCACCGTAAAAATTGGGTTGACATAGACCCAACATGCGATAATACACACAAGTGTGCTGAAATTATAGCGAATATCACAGATGGAATGAGAAGGGAATTATCGAGCAGCATTAAAAATGCCAACTAAATTTCCATTCTTATCGATGGTGACACCGATAACGCTGCAAAGGAATGCAAAATCGTGTACGTACGACGTGTCGACAAAAATGGGAAGGCGACAGTGAATCTGATCAGGCAAAAAGAGGTTGAACACACACATGCAAAAATTACCACACTCGTATTTAGGAAACCATGCCAAATTTTGCAAAACCATGCCCAAATTATAACATGATGTTCAGTTAACAGAACTTTGAGTTATGCGCATATACATTTTTGTTTTTGTTGAATGTCCACATTTAGTAATTTTATTTTGATTTATTTCAACTTTATTTAAAGAAGTGGGCCATAGTACAATAAAGTAATTTTTATTGGATTCTGTGTAGAGGCAAGCAAATTCAACGACATACATAATGTTCCCATGAACCATTGACAACCAATTTCTTAACAAGATATAAAGATTTCTAATGAGGCTGAATTTCTAATATGACTTGGCAAGTTATTCCATAGCTTTACCCCTCTGTATTGAAATGTCCTCTGACCTATAGATGTTTTCCATATAAAAAGCATAAATTATTATTAAGAGAGAAACCTTTACTATACCTATGAATTTGGGGATAGGTCTGAACATCTCATTTAAATATAAAAGCGCCAAGTTGTCGGTTGCCATGTACATAAAGATACCTAGAAAATCTGAAATTCTGTAGTCAGTAGGCAAGATACCATGTCCTTGAACAGCATTGGCTAAAGTTATATTAAATCACCCAAACTGCCCCTTTTTAATTATTTCACCATTATAGTTAACTAGAAAATCTTCACCAACATTATTTAGCTATTGACAGGATCCAATGAGCATAGATTTTGATTTAGATGTGTTGATTGACATGTAATTGCAATTAACCCAACGCAAAATTGGCCAAACATCATCATGCATTTTGTGATAACATTGATACTTGGTTCAGAAGATAACTGTGTTTTATCATCGGCATATATATGGAACCGTTCCCAAGAAATAATGGAAGGTCATTTATAAATAGAACAATAATGGTCGCAAAATTAAACCCTGTGGTACATCATATCGAATATTACCAGCATCGAAAAGTTTACTCATCAAATACACAACTTGCTTTATTGCAGATAAATAAGAACTAAACCATTTTAGGGAAACTTACAAAATGCCATGAACTTAAGAGCTTCTTCAATAACACTCGTTTGTCCACCATATCAAACACCTGGCTTAATCTTATTAGCTGTGAAGGTTCTCCCCCCCCCCCCCGATTTGTAGGAAACTGAAAAACGTGTTTCGCAACTTGTCTCTTTCTTTAGTTTCAAGTCATATTCAAGAACTCGTTTGAACACCATATCAAACGCTGAAATAAATTGTTTTCTTTTCAATTAAAAATATTTGAGAGCTGGGGGCTAAGATAAACAGTGCAGAGAAATAAATCATCTAACTGAAAAAAAAATCCTGTTGAAAGTGTAATACCCTTGTACAGGTTTTTGTAGTAACAGACAATGCTGGAGATGAAACGCAAAGACAATCTGCTGACCTACTTTGAGGTAAAGATTGTAATAATCATCTTTATTGTTATCGTATCCTCTATGGGACTTTGATTATAAAATACAATAAAGGTATAACAATGAAAAAAAAAATTAAATGAGATTAAAAGAGTATAGAACAAAGTTATTAATAAAATATAATAAAGTAAATGTTTTTAGTCATTTTGAGGCAGCTGGTAGTACTTTTTTCAAGTTGTTCTCTCGGATTTTAAAACAATCATGTACGTACTTAGCAATTCGAGGAGCTAATATTTTACTATCATTGTTTATTATCACAACTATTTTTTCTTTGTCAGGAAGTTTTGGAGGTAGCATCGAATTTTTGTGAAGCTCATTTCTTTCTTTTTTATAGAGACCGCATTCAAGAAGGAAGTGCTCTTCATTTTCTATTTCGTTTAATTAACAAAACTGACATTTTCTTTTTGAAATGTCAATGTTTTTATGTCTTCCAGTTTCTATTCCTAATACATGAGCACTTATAATTCTTAGTTTGGTCATGGATGACCTGTGGATGGAATTTTGCACTGTTTCTATGGCAGTATGGAACCCATATCTCGCGCATGCGTAGCGCGACGACAACTGCCTTTATAATCTCTGTTTACAATAGTAATTTATGCGAAATAGAAGAACAATAAAGATGGTCATCAACCTCAGACTTGTCTGAGCATCATCTCAACAGTCTACTAAGTATATTCTGGTATATTTTATTTTGCAAGTATTCGCTGAACTGGGTCAACGAACTATTATTGACTGCACGTGCGCAGTACGCCAATAGTAAGTTTGGATTCAAAAACATGGCGGCGGTGTCGGCGTTTTATTTCGTCTTTTTATTTTTCTGTTTATCGTCGCTGATGACGGTATTTGTGTGCGTTGGACTGCCTTTTAAAGCCAAGGGATCGCCAGTGATTCTCAGTAAGTTCCATTTCGTCATTTATTTTCAATTATGTAGTTAAAATTCGTGAATGTACACCTGGTTGGTGACCTTTTCCGATTATGCGTGCCAGTGTCTCTATTGGTCTGGAATGGTTAATTGTGGGGAGGCCAGTAGTGTATTTTGCACCAATGAAGCTGCGATTTTACGTAGTCACCTTTCGTTGATAATGAGACCAAATAAATAGTAAACACGATAAATACTCAGTCCATCACAGGGACAATGGCCCCAGTACCAGTAAATAACAATAACAAGGTTAATTGGGTACCGAGGGCCTGTGCATTGGAATACCAGATGTTTTCATCTGCATGTGAATCGGGAGGAGGGGTTATGATTTATGATCGTAATTACTGAAAGGTCATGACATTACGGAAATCACCTGACTGATCATACCATCACACTCTCCAATAACACGTTCCCTGGCTGCTGACTTCTTTTTGTGGACCTTTCAGCAGATAATTTTTAATATGAAGTGAACACCTCTCCTCCAATCCTTCATCATAAATTATTTCTGTTATTTCATACAAGTGAATACTTGTCTACTAGTCTCGTATCAGAGTGTATAACAGCTGTTACATGTTTAGTTCCATCACAGCTGTAATGTAAACAGCTGCTGAAGTATGATTAGTTTCCAATTGTTTTCTTTCTTTCAATTAAAATCAGACGGTATGGAAAACATTCCCAGGAGAACATGTATTGTTTCAAATTATTTAAATAATGACTCTAGACTCTAGAGACTCTAACACAGAATTTTATTTATTTATTAACATATGAATATTCTTTTTTTTTGAGGGGGCCCTAAGGAACTCTTACCTTGTTAATCAAATATGGACAGATTTGTAGAAATTTAGGCTGTCAAATAAAAATGTGTATCTGCTGAAATATGGAGTGTCTGCGTAAAATGTCAGGTAGACAGATGGCTTGTTACATTGAAATTCCCAAATAGTGGAATTAAATTTAAGCGAAAATTATTGCTTTCATACTAAATCTCCCAAACAAATATTAAATATTCTGACAATTCAAGTTAAAACGATTTGTTTATGGTCTACGAAGTGGAAAGATTAGTAATTTTGACCCATGGTGCAAGATACCTGCTTGGTATTACATCTGATGATTACATACAATGTTTGTACACACGTATATTTCAATTCAATTTGTATGTAACCCGTTGATTTGTTTCACCTACAGTCCCTGGGGATGGAGGCACTCACATGCTTGGTAAACTTGACCGACCAAAAGTAAAGCACTACTATTGCCGTCAACGTACCAGTGACTATTTCAATATATGGCTGAATTTAGAAGAATTGGTTCCTTACATAATTGATTGCTGGTCTGATAATATCAAGTAAGGCATCCTAACCTTGAATGTCAAAGTCAATGTAATAAGCCCATTTACATGTATTATACCTAATGTTTAATACTCACATTGATCAGTCAGAACATGCTCCTGTAGTTGTCAATAAAACTTGTTATGCGAATACGTTTTTGTGTAGACAGAGCTGTTTGCCACAGACTCCAACATACAATTTATGTTAATTCATTTGGTATAATAAAACATTGTTACCTCAGTAACGATCAATATTAAGTTTTTTTCAGTATCTGCCAATATTGTTCCTTCATCAATAATTTCATGAAAACTGAACATTGATCAAAGCTTTGGTAACTATTTGTTTAATGTGTAACCAATTATGTCCAGAATTAACAAAAAAATTCAAGAAAATTAGCTAAAATGTACAAAATGTCATTACTTCTAATTTCTCTAGTCAAACAATTGTTGTTGTTTTTTTATTTTTTTAATTGATGTTCATTTTACTCTGAATCTCAGTTTAAAATTACAGCAATTCCAGGCACTGATTTTACGCTGAAGTAGTGCTAGATGTTGATAACTTACTACAATAGGTTACACACTTTGTTTTCAAATTTACAGAAGTTGTTACAAATAAAGCAGACAGCATGTCTGCAATTTGAAGCGCACCAGAAGAAAGCTCCGCCCATAAAAGTGGCGGTAGATTAGTTTTGAATTTCTACTCCAATAAACGATCGAGGCTCTCAACTTAGTTTCATACCGGGTACTTCATATTTGCGTCACATGTTATTTCAGTGAGAGGGGCGCATAAAGTGGTGGCACTGTAAAGAACGTTATTTTACAGAACCAGCTGACCGACTGATCATGACAGAATTATTGATCAAAGTGCATTATTCCTACTATAGAAATATCCGTATCAGGCCGATGTATATAACTGAAAGCTGCCTGCAACAAACGTCCTATGAAGACTTCATCCAGTATATCAATAATGAAATTGAATACATAAGTAGAATGGGTCGATTATTAGTTCTCGACGATGAGAACCAAAAGGTTGATGTGCCACCAAATAATCACTGGCTGCGAACACACGTCTGGAGAGTGTTGCCGCCGTACACAAGTAGTTTTTGTCAAACTTCCCGTTCGTAAATGCGCGGTCGCAATTATAATATTCGACATAGTCTATAACGTTGTCAGTTTCCTGGCCGGATACTCTCGGTGGTAACAAACCGTTTGACGATATTATAAGCTGCCTGCTTTGAAACACCATTTCGATCTTCAATCTCAGCAAATGACAGTCCACGCAAATACGAATTGACAACTCTTGTTCTCATTTCAACTGGTTATTTGACTCTTTGCTTCTCCATCGTGATGCTTAAACAACTTGGACATATGCCGATTTGTAGACACGCAATCGACACGATGACCGACCAAAAGTGAATGAAAGACAGAGGCGCCTCAAAGTCCAGGTGTACCTGACTTTTTAGCAAAAATAGAAAACATTGTGGGCAATATCTGTCAATCATTCCTCTAATTTGCAGCCGATGTTTATATTTCTAGTTACAACTTATGTAAATGTGAAAACAAAGTGTGTAACCTATTGTAGTAAGTTATCAACATCTAGCACTACTTCAGCGTCAAATCAGTGCCTGAAATTGCTGTAACAAACAAAATGTGACATAGAACAATGTACACAACTTTGTTTCCATACTTCATTGTATACCAACTCTACAGTACAGTTCTCGCAGAAGCTTTGGCTTTTGTGGCATCATTGTCGCATACGCATGGCTTCATTGTCGCCTCTGCATTGCATCATTGTGGCATCAGCTTCGCGTCATTGAAAATTGAAGCTGTGTTCGCCTCTCTTATTTTGTGGCATCATCGTGGCCTCAGCTTCGCAGTCTCATGGCATCAACATGGCATCAGCTTCAAAGTATTGTGACATGAGTATGACCTCATTATTTTCACATGGAAAAGCAGTAGAGAAAAAACACATGTACAGAAGTTCGATATGTAATCGATTTGAAATTCAAAGCGGTAAGGGGAATAAAATAATATGACCAAGAGTAAAATGACATTTTAAAAAGATATCTTGTTTAATTATTTAATGTTGCGAGTATTGGGTACCAAAAACTATGTGGAGTACATTGCAATCTGCAAGGTGACGAGTGTCATATTGACTGCAAGGAAAAACGTGATAAATTTAAATCACTCGATGCAATCGTCGTTCGGAAACAACACAATTTGCTATACGAAATGAAACTGTTCGTGTTATAAAATTACCTTATTTTCGTTCATTTTATTTGCTGGTAAGAGAACAGATTCAGATT